TATATAGGGTTTAGTGTTTACAAAATCCCAGTAAAAACACGAAAACAAAGAATTTAGGGTTTAGGGTTTAGGGTTTAGGGTTTAGGGTTTAGGGTTTACGTTCCAGAGTGTTCTTCTGTGTTTTCTGTTTTGTTGCATTTTCTCCCAAATAAACTTTTGGCGTTCAACCCCCACGGGCTGCGCGGGGCGTAGCTCACCAGGCCTACAAAACCCTAAACCCTAAACCCTAAACCCTAAACCCTAAACCCTAGATCCGCGGTGGTGGTGGATCGTAGATACTTTGCAGTGATAAACCCTAAACCCTCGGTTACAATTCAATTACATCTTTCTAGGGTTTAGGGTTTATATTATTAGGGTTTATATTATTAGGGTTTATAATTAGGGTTTACTATTAGGGTTTATGTTTAGGGTTAAGGGTTTAGGGTTTACGCTTCGTGTGCATATATACTATTGAGGGTTTCCTTTACCGAGCGTTTAGTGTTTAGGGTTTATTAGGGTTTAGGGTTTACGCTTCTTGTGCATATATACAATTAAGGGTTTCCTGTATCGAGTATTTATGGTTTAGGGTTTATGAGGGTTTAGGGTTTATGAGGGTTTAGGGTTTACCTATCAACAAACTCTATAAAAGCCATTGGTGCTGCATCCCTCATCCTAACCCTAAACTGATTACAAACCCTCGTAAAGAAGAAACTGCGGTGTCTATACACCCCAACCAAACCCTCAAAAAGGCGGCGACGAGCAGCAGCAGAACGCAATATAGATTCAACTGCTATGCTGCGAGAATCACCTATAACATACACAAACCCTAAACCCTAAACCCTAAACCCTAAACCCTAAACCCTAAATTCTAAACCCTTGTTGTAGACACGGATCATAAATAGTAAACCCTAAACCCTAAAAAGAAGAAGAAAAAAAGGAAACAATAAACACTAGATAAACCCTCAATATAACCCAAGCAAAACATATAAACCCTAAACCCTAAACCCTAAAAAACCCTAAACCCTAAACCCTAAACCCTAAAAAAACCCTAAAACCACCAAAAAAACGGCGCATCACTCAGAACTACCGCGAAACCCTCGCCAGGAGTAAACCACTTAAAAAGGGTTTAGCGTTTAGGGTTTAGGGTTTAGGGTTTAGGGTTTAGGGTTTAATACCCTGCTTAGCTAGATGAATCAATTCCTCTGCATACGGCTGCAACTCCTTGGCGCGGGTTATGGTGGTTTCTAAGCGCCCAAACCGCAGCAGCTGATCCAGCTGGTTTCTGAGCACAAACCCTAAACCCTAAACCCTAAACCCTAAACCCTAAACCCTAAACCCTAAACCCTAAACCCTTGGTGGGGTTTAAAGGGGGCTGTGATGAGGCGGCTTTCATACCGCAAAAGGATACAACTGCTCAGAACACATAAACCCTAAACCCTAAACCCTTATCTAAACCCTAAACCCTAAACCCTAAACCCTAAACCCTAAACCCTAAACCCTTGTTTACCTGATAGCATCCCAGCGGTGTTGTGGTTGTTTCTTTGTTCGCCTAAAGGTCCTCCTCCGCATACCCAGATTCAGAAACTTAAAAGTAGTTGTAAACCCCATTGCTCCTGCTGCTGCTGCTGCTGCTGCTGCTGTTGCTGCTGCTGCTGCTGCTGCTGCTGCTGCTGCACTGAAGGCTGTTGCCGCTGTTGCTGCTGAAAGGGGCTGCCGCTGCGGGGTTTTGCTGCTGCTGATGGGTATGCTGAGAGCTCCTGCTGCTGTTGCTGCTGCTGCTGCTGCTCCTGCTGCTGCTGCTATAGTTGCTGCTGCTGTTGCTGCTGCAGCAGCAACTGGAGCAGGGATTCCTCCTGGTGCAGCGACTGCTGCTGCTGCTGCTGCTGCTGCTGCTGCTGCTGCTCTTCTGGCTAGGTCTGCTCCTGTAAGGTGGCTGCTGCTGCGTTTGCTGCTGCTGCTGCTGCTGCTGCTGCGCTTGCTGCTGCTGCAGCCGCCATTGCTGCTGCTGCTGCAGCTAAATAACGAATGGCAGCTGCTGCATGCTCTTAGGGTTTAGGGTTTAGGGTTTAGGGTTTAGGGTTGTCAGCTGTGTGGTGTACATACACCCCAGGAGCATTAATTTATTTGTTTTTTAAATAAAAATAAATAAAAATAAATAAAATAAAAAGAAGAAGGAGAGATGAAACCCTCACTCTGCTGCAGCAGAATTGGGGTGTATGCACAGACACCGCAGCAACCCCAAACGAAACATAAAAACTATATTTTTGTTTTTTATTTTATTTATTTAAAATTAATTTATTAAACAGAAAACAAAATAATATAATAAAAGAAACAACAACGCATGCAACGCAGCAGCAGGGCCCCATGTTTAGGGTTTAGGGTTTAGGGTTTAGGGTTTAGGGTTTAGGGTTTAGATTAAAATTTACCTTTTGTTTTTGTTTTTTTAGTTTTTTTTATTTGTCATTTCTGTATATAACACAAAATAACCAAACGCAAGAACCCTATCTCCGCTTGCCTAGGGTTTAGGGTTTAGGGTTTAGGGTTTAGGGTTTAGGGTTTTAGGGTTTAGGGTTTAGGGTTTAGGGTTTAGCGCTGACACAATGAGGGCTTCTACTGCTTACCGTCTCATTTCGTCTGGGGTCAGGAGCTATAGAAGCGGCCTTCGCTGCAGCAACAGCAGCAGCAGCAGCAGCAACAGCAGCAGCAGCAGCAGCAGCAGCAGCAGGATTAGCAGCAGCAGCAGCAGCAGCGGCAGGATTAGCAGCAGCAGCAGCTGCTGCTGCAGCAGCAGCATAACCACCAACAGTAGCATCAACCGTATGGCAGTGTGTGCCTATGCTCGCGGCCTCTGCAGCATCAGCAGCAGCAGCAGCAGCATCAGCAGCAGCAGCAGCAACAGCAGCAGCAGCAGCAGCAGCAGCAGCAGCAATTTGTTTTTCTATAGATTTCACAGCACTGCATCTGAGTCTCCTGGGGCAGCAGCAGCAGCAGCAAAACCAGCAGCAGCAGCAGCAGCAGCACCAGGAGAACCAGCAGCAGCAGAAGCAGCAGCACCAGGAGAACCAGCAGCAGCAGCAGCAGAAGCAGCAGCTGAAGCAGGAGAAGCAGCAGCAAGTACAACAAAACCTGCTGCTGCTGCTGCTGCTGCTGCTGCTGCTGCTGCTGCTGCTGCATCGATGCCGTTTACTGGGTGGTTAGTTCTCTGCTGCGGCGCCTCTCTCCTCATCGGTGGTTTAGGCGGTGGTTTGTGGTTGTGGTTTGATCGTCCTGAAGCCCTAGAGATAGCATGGGATGTTATAAAGTAGGGTTTAGGGTTTAGGGTTTAGGGTTTAGGGTTTAGGGTTTAGGGTTTAGGGTTTGTGGTGTTTGCGTTGTTGCGATATTTCTCGGTGTTTTCTAGCTGTAGAACGACACGAAATATGCACACAAA